TTTGAGGAAGCCTCTTCCTCACCTTCTCACTGTACATCTAGGTGTCACCAGTAACTTGGAATTAGTTATTCCATTTTCACAGGTCACTAAACTTATAATAAAAGGTGCTATAAAAAATACTGTCGATCCAGATATGACCACTTGGAAACAATTAATTCACATTACAGATTTGTATCTTTATTGATTGTTAATCCTGTCGGGCTTTGACCATCTCCTAAGCAGTAAGCTCCATTAAACACAGAGGGGATTACTTCTGAGTCAACATGAACAGGAATGGTGTGGCATGACCCTCAACTGCTTTCCAGACTGCTCCCACTACACACCACCTTTGGAGTAGCTTGACCAAGCAGTGGGCATCATTGCAATGCTTAGCAAATCCTGTTGAGTGGATTCTGGCAGAACACATGCTCACTTAAATGAGGAGAAATTTACTGGTCAATATAGACAGAAGAACATATATTTCCTGTGTAATATGAAAGTAAAGTGAAAAAGTAAATATAATTGGTAGCAAGATAAATATTTAAGCTGGATGGTATCATTAACATGGTGTAAGTGATCCATAACTAGCTCCTAAAATTACAAATCCAGTTGCTGTCCCCTCAGAGATGGTAGTGTCAGTGTGGGTTGAATAAGAACACATAGAAATGTTGTCTACCAGCCACAAACTACCTGTGGGAATCCTGTTATTTTCAACAGTAGTAATACATAATAATTCATAGAGACTGAGGAGTGTTACAGTACAGGGAAGTATGTAACAGAGTATAAAGAAAACATGACTGTAGGGATTTGGCCCACTGGTCCTATAGAAGAGGCTTCAGAGAAGAAGGAAGGATCAGAATCCACCCTGAAAAAGTGATTTGTTTTTTTCACTTTGCAAGGGAGGAGAGGTATCAGTTGAGAATCAACTTTTTATCATCAAGCCAGAATTCCCTAACAGCCATAATTCTAACTTCGCTTGTTTCTTTTGCTATTGACATCTGCAATGCTCTTCACTTGTGCTGCAAACCAGCCTAGCTGGTCATGACAAAGTCTTCTCTGCCCTTGCCTGCTTGGAAAGAGGGGGGAAAAACAACCACGACAGTTACATACCCTCCACGTTTAGAAACTTGCCCTATCTAGGCATTATGAACCTAGGACAAAAACATGAGAGGGAGGATCTTTCTAGCCATACATCTCTTCTTTGACAAATATATCTCCTTTGTCATGATCTTCCAGTATTCTGTCTCATATGAAAAGCCTTGTGGATAGAGGAGGTTTTCTCCTTCAGACAGTCACCCTCCATGAGTTGTAGTCCTTCTATTTAGGCATGTACCCTTCTTGTTCAGAACACCTAAACACTCTATAGAATCTGAGCTGAGCAGATAATGGTTCCCCTGACCTCTATTACTACACTGATATTTCTGATAAAGGGAAAACAAAGAGCCATGAAACCATCCTGTCTTCTATCCTTTTTAGGATTCTGATGCTTTATGTCAGTTGCTCAGCAAATTCAGCTGACCAGATTCTTTCTATCTGTCCCCTTTCTGAGAGCCCATGTCCTGCTTTTAAGTGACCCATGACTTCTAACCATCTAGTCAAAGTCTCAGCAAGTTTTTATGTAATAAGTCTTCATTTTCGTGCTGAGCCATTTTGTTATTTTTAAAATTTACTGGGAAATAAACACTTTGGTTCAAAATGACACAGATAAGTGGAACAAGACACAGACAATTTCTCCATTGGACATGGCCATGTAATTTAACATCCCAAAGAGCAGGAATCACATCACATGTCAAGAAGCCATGTATCACCCTTTGTCATGGGTGAACAACCCATGGGAGGTATTTTTCCAAGCTGATATGGAACATAGAAAGTCTGACTTATTCTAGAAGGAAGAAAATACTTAAAGGTTGATGCACAAGAATTGGAATGCTACATTTGTCCCATCTATCAAAGGAGTCAGTTAGGTTAATATTTGTCCAAGCTTAATAGCAAAATACTTTTATGCCAGACTAGTTCCTGCTAAGTAGCATTATGGTGTAAGAACCTGAAACATTCAACACAATGTGTTTTTCTGAGACAATTCTGTTGCAATGCTAGACTATCATTGGTGTTAGGTAACTAAGTGTGCTGCTCCCTCCCCTCTCCTCATGCAACATGGCCCCAAAGGGGAGATCAGAGCATCTGCTTCTACGTACAACTGCAGTTTGCCAGTAAAGACAAACCAAGGACTGTGATTAGTTTTGCCTATGGCTAACCAAACAGGTCAAGATCAGAAACCAGGATTGATCTTGGCTTGTTTGGACAAGGCATAGTTGTGAATACCGCAGTTTGTTCTGGTTTGGACAACACCAGCAGCTGTGATTAGCTAAAAATAGAAGAAGATGCTTCAACTCTCCTATTCATGGCTATATAGGAGCAAGAGAAGAGATGGGAGAACATGGTTGCGTGGCCATGTAAATGATGGTTTAGCATTGTATCTAAACCTAGTCTCTCTTTTGTACACATATGCTAGTTCATACATACAGCTGCTGATTTGAAAAGGTGCTTCCTTTCTGGAGTGTCTAGTGCTACTTCAGAAGAGTAAGTGTAACTCGGTTGCTGTAATCTAAACATGCTTGTTCCAGTACCACTGCCACAAACCCTGAACAGCACCCTGGAGCTATTACAAGATTTTGTATCACTCTGGAGTGGACAGGGCAGCGACCTCTTGCACAACTTGGCCCTCCTGGACAACTTCCTCTATAGGCTTTCTATCCCAGCAGAAACCATAAAAATAAGTGTAAATGTGTATCACAAAACAAGATAAAGCATGGAAATTTCTGAGATAGCAAACCAAATTTGCTGCTCTCCATGAATGATATTGGGCTTGAGCTGCAACAGTTCAAAGAAGGCTGAGCACATTCATCTGGGCTGTTCATCTGCCACTTTCATCTCACATAATCTGAAATTTCATCTCAGCACCAGAACTTCAATGTAGTTGAATTCAAGTTTATCCTAAGCTTGCTTGCTGTGTTCCAAAGCAGCTTATTCACCATTGAATATATTACCATAGCATATCCAGCATTAGCCTAATCATAAGGGAGAGCTTACTGGGACCATTCATATAGGTAAAGATTAGATATGATACAAATAAAGGTTTTTCAATAGGAAGGCACAAGATAACATCCTCATTAGTGTCTTATGGGCTGTTTCCATTACATATGTTTAGATGTACGTATATCGCTATCCTTTAGGGCCAATTTTCCCGTGACCAGTTGCAGAAATATTGTTGTATGAAGACCGCATCTTTTCATTTTTAATGCATATATCTCTGCCACACCTATTTCTTCAATAGTTACTGTATTCTCATACTATTAAAAAACTAGTTAGGCGGAATATGCATTTTGTTTCTGTAGCCTATACAAAAATAACTACTTATAAAGGATAGATGCCAAATATTCTGGTTCTTCATGTTCTTCTTAACTTGTAAGAAATCCCCTTGCCATTTTCTATAACCAAGGTTCTAATGCCACAAGAACAATTTTTTCAGAGCTCAACTTATCTTCAGAGTATATAATCATATGTTGATTGATATAAGTGAATTTCCTCCCTTTGACAGGTGCATTTTCACTTATAAATCACCACATCTCTGCAAGAGTTGTAAAGGGCAAACTTTGACAGATGTTCCTCCTCATGCTTTAAAGTTCAGTTAGTATAAAGGAAGGCAGTCAAAGATTCTGATTCCCATTTTATGTTTATTTTCCCAAGGTCTGCTTTAGTTTCTCTCTAACTCTTTTGATACTTGGTATTCACTGTCTCACTTGACTGATACAAGAAGTCAGCTGTAGAGAAGGAATGTTTCCTGTGAACTTTGCCTGGTTACCATGGAGTAAGTTTTCTCTTTAACTCTCTTCCTCAGAGCCTACACATATGTACATTTGTGCCAAGCAAGGGTCCTGACAAGATCAGAAATGGTGACACCATCATCAGCAACAACCAGCCTGTGTCCCAACAAGGTGCTATACTATTTGCAATCTGAGTTTTCTGCTCCACTTTCATGTAGAAATATAATTACTTTCTGGTTTGCTTGTTTAGATTATGGAGTCATTCTCTCTTTGGTGCTATAAATGTTGCAAAGAATAAAAGTTAGTATTTTAAATAACATATATATTAGACAATGTGTGATTTAGACTGTTTCCTTATTTTGACATTTCTAAAAATGTCTGTGAATATTGGCAAAGTCAGTTCAACCCCCCCCCCCCCCCCTTTTTTAAAATTCAGCTTTCTAAATTGGTAGGAAAAAACCACAACAGAAATAAGTAACTGGCAGCTCCATATTCGTTCCCCTGATATTTTGATAACTAACCTCTGCCTTCTGCCTCACAGACACACACAAATATAGTTCTGTGGGTGCCACCATTAATGCAGAGCAAAATCCACAACCGAGGGATTTGCTACATTATCCTATTCTGCCCACCAGACCACAGAAATACACTCTGAAATAAAAGTCCGGGGCAGAACCACCATTTCTCTACTCCAATCATGCAAAAAACAAACAGGGTGACAATTATAAGCAGTGGAGATAAGAAATTGACAGGTAATATCCAGAGAGAGATGTGGATTTCATAAGCAAACCAGGCAAAATTTATTTATAACGAAGAGCAGAGCAGAGCAGAGCCACACACACACACAAACTTCCTTTGCTTATTCTGCCTGTCAACTAATTCTCAGAGAGAGCTTCCGAGCAATTTCAATTGGCGGAGTGGGGCGTGCGTGCGTGCGTCCGTGCGTGTGTGTGTGTGATCCAGACCCGAGAAGCAGGAGGGAAGAGAGGAAGGGCAGGGCGTCAGCATCTCGCGGGGAACGGGGACCAAGTCCGCCAGCCCAGGGGCACGAGGTCAGTGGCGTGCCGCGCAGTGGCTGCGGCTCTCCCGGGGCCAGGAGCAGTCACTCCGCCCTGCAGCCCGTAGCAGGGACGCAGGAGCCCAGCAGTAAGCCTTCCACGTACCGTGCGGGAAAGGAGGAGGCGTGCGCAGACTTACACACGCCGATGCCCCTTTCTGGTCAGCGATTCCTCCGTGGGGTGCTGCTGTGGCGGGATGGGGGACGCTCATCCCGCGTGCACCGGCCGCCACATGATACCACCGATGGCAGGCTGCCGGGGTACGCGGCGGGTGGGTGGGCTGGGGGCTTCCCGTCTACTCGCGACAGCCGCGGAGAAGCCACGCAAACGCGCGCCCGCCCGCCCGCCCGCCCCGCGCTGCACTCACCGATCCTGAGCACTTGCTGGGAAGTCTGAGGGATGCCGAGACCGACGCAGAGGAGGAGGAAGACGAGTCCCCTGCCGGCCTCCATGGCAGAGTCCCTGGGCTCGCGGCAGAGGGCTCTGTCCATCTCCTTCACTCCTCGCGCGGGCTCATGCTTCAGCCGCTCGGCCACGCCGCTTGCTCGCTCTCAGGCATCCGCTGCTCCCGCCTGGGCTGGGTCGCTGCCCCTCATGCTTTCCTGCGCTCCTCGCTCATGGCAGAGGGAAGGAAGGGACGGGGGGGGGGCTGGGGCTGGCGGCGGGGGGCTGCGCGCCTTACACCATGAAGGGAGCCGCCGAGCGGGTGCCTCGGGGATCCGCGGCGATCTCTCCGGGTTTCTCCGGCTCCCTCCCTCGCTCCCTCCCTCCGCCGCTCTAGCCCATCATCGCTCCGCGCTGCATCCGCGGGCTGCCGAGCCGCAAGAATGGGGTCTCCTCCACGTCGTCCAGACTGGGGCAGCGATTCATTTAGGGGAGAAAGTTGCCGCTCGAAATGGCCGGTGCGGCTCCCTCATCCGACCTGCCGCCAAGTGCAAAAGTGGGAAAGCGCAGGCGGGCAGGGAAGCGACGGGAAGCGGAGTTCTTGGAAGCGCAGGAGCCCCGGCAGTCGAGCCGCCGCCGCCGCCGCTCCCTCCGACACACACACGCAAACTAAACTACTTTCTGCCTCCCCGCTCCAGAAGCGATGAGACCTGCGCCTGCCTCCAGACGACCCAGGCCAGCCTCATCTCCGCGTCGGCCAGAGCTGGCGCCGCTCTCCGGGAGCCTTCGAGGACACTGTCGACTCGCAGCTGGACCATTGGACAAAAGTGAGCGAAAATCCCCGGGTGACGTCAGCCGGGCTCTCCGAGGCTGTGCACCTCCACTCCCCCCCCCCCCACGTCCTCGTCCCCGGGTTGCGCGCTCTTCCTCTCCTTTCCCGGCTGCTGCCAATGGATCAGCAGACCTCTGCGGCTCCAGCACCAGATCGCGAAGGCTGCATCTTCCCGCGGGACGGATGCTGGAACTTTTCTCAGCCAGGGCTCCAGGCTCAGGGCTGTTTCCGAGGCCAAAATTCTCCTTGGGGGCATGAAGAGTGGGAATGGGAAGCAGGGAAGGAGGGAGGTCCTTGAACATATGCAGAGTGCCTTTCCTGGGGCACCCTGCTGCTTCACCGCTGGGGCAGGTGCCGCCTTTGACTTGCTGAGCTAGGATACGATCTTGCAGGGGTGCAAAGGAGCTCTTTGGCATGCTTGAAACTGCCTAGCCAAACGAGGGCTTTTGCTAATGATGGGCACTAGTGCTGCCACCGTGTCCATGGTAGCATTTGTGTTCCACAAGCACTGCTGTGCACCTCCTTTTAGCACATGTCAAACAGTGGCCTGAAGAACTGCAGGTTAGAGGCTGCTAGTAACCAGCTACAGTGGGTTCCTAATAAGAGATTCCATGGAGCCAATTTCCAAAGCAGCTTTCACAAAACCACAAGTTTCCCAGCTTGATGCAAGGATGCTGGGGAATTTGCCCCCAGGTCTTCCAAAGCTTCAACTTATGCATGATACACCCACCCACTCCCCTTCATCACACTGTTCACCAGGGCAGAGCAGCAGGGTCCTTAACATCACACCTGCCCTGGGCCCCCAAAACCCTTCTGGAGCAGCCTGGAGCAGGGCCAGGAAGGCCATAAAACCACCATAGGATGAATCTGATCAGCTGGTTTCCCAAGCCTTCCTCTTCCAAGGAAAAGGTGGACATGGGACCCAAGGCACTTAAATGGGCTGGGTGGGACCTAAGCTCCCTCCAATGCCAATCTTCCCTTCCAAAAACAATCCCTGGGCTATGCTTAGTCACTAGCTGCAGCTTTCAGGAGTGTCTGGACAGATGAGGCTAAAGGACATTCAATATGGGTCAATATGAGAGAGCAGCGATTTGGGGCTGCTTTATTTGCTCATTTAATAGGGCCAGATTAATGCTTCCCCTTCCCCATTTGCCTTTTCAGTCATCTATATGGATGGGCCAAAGTGACAAATAGGTACCAGTGTATGCCATGGTTGGAGGCCGGGACTCAAATCAAGATGCAAGACTAAAAGCCTTTCCGAGGCTTACTCCTGAATAAACACACGTAGAATTGACTTGTACCAATTTCATGAATGGTCCAGCGAGTAAGGGGTGTGTGTGGGGTGGACTAATTCCCCAACATACCCCAGATCCACCCTTAGTGCCAAAAAAAAAACCTGGGCAGCCTGTCCTAAGGACTCCTAGCCTGACAATATTACTTCCCCATTGGTGCATAACTTAGAATGAAAATTACAAGCATTTTACAAGGAAGATACCTGTGAACTCCATGAAATTACAAATCGAAGCAAGCAGTGTTTCTGTGGGGTCACCAGGATCTTGTATTCTGTGACACAATATGACTGAATGATGATTAACAAGTTTTATTTCCACTGCTCTCCTGCCTTGATTCATAATAGGGATGCATGGACAAGTATCAATTTAAAAGTCAGCCACCATACTATCCACTTCATTGACATAAGGCAATGTTTCTCAAGCAGAAAATTGCAAAGTTGAGATGGAAAATGCATTGGCTTTACTAGCAACTTACTTTACTCCAAAAAAAAAAAAATCCTGTAAATGAATGTACATGGGAAGCAAATGAATGAGTATAGCAAAACACAGGAAATTTATTATTGAGTGTGAGCTACTGAATACATATGATATAATTTTTCATAAGCAAATACTAGAGGTATTCAAATGCTATCCCAAGAGAGAGAGAAAGAGAGATTCAGCTGGGGTTTAAACTAAATTTCTTTGTTAGGTTTGCCTGAGGATTATGTGGTTTAAAAAAATATAAAATAAGTATTGCTCAAGATTAACTTTAAGCATGGTAAGTCTTATTAATTTTAAGTACAGTTTTCATCCATGCTGAAATTGGTTGAACTTAGTCATTGGTTTTAAGGTAAGAGTGTTTAAATTCTGTACCAGAGCCAGCACAAAAGATGTGTCCAGGCATTTGTTGGAGGCAGGGAAGCTGCAGTCACCTCTAGGCTGGGAAGGGAAATTCCTTAAAGTGTGACAAGAAATAATCAATGGGTCCAACAAGTATATTTTCCCCTTTGTCCGCCTTTCACTTTGCCTCTCACTTCAGAGGCACATTTAATTATTCATTTATCACCTTTTAAAACTACCCAATAACCCATGTTCTCCAGGTGGTGCACAATACATTAACCAGTAAAACTATGAATGAAATAGCACATGAGTAAAACCAACAGTTATAAAAAAGGAGTGATCAAAAGCAATAAAAATAGTTATTAAAATATGTGGGAGAATAAAAAGGTCTTCACCTGATACTGAGAAGATCCTAATGTCAGTGCCCAAAGAGCATCTCTGGTGGGGGCATCCAACAGAAAAGCCATACAATAGGACAAAGTGCAGTGCCAGACCCCTGAAGCGATGGGGGAGGGGTCAGAAGAAGTAGGAGGAGTGAATACGTGACCTTCCTTCTTCCCTCCATTATTAATATTTAAACATCCAAAGATGGACTGACAAATTTCTCCCATGAGGATGCGTATAGGGCTGTGAGAAACATATGCTTAACTTCTGAGTGGATGCATTTACTTAAGGGTTCATGTAGAGGGGTTGGGTGCATAGGCTTGCTTGAGCAAAAGAAGAGCTTGATACAGTCTCAGTTCCTTATTTTCAGTACCTCACCCCATGTTCTCCTTTCCCATGGACGGGACATAAGCTGAAATAGAGAAACAACACAACTGACGAAGACCATCAAGTCCATTCAAACACTTGAATGGCTTGGAAACAGGACCCAGAATTGCCAGCATTTGCCAGCTGTTCCTTTTACAGCTGCCAGTCTTTTCTGGAGAAGAAATGGGCGAGCCAGCTGTGAAACTGACCTGAAATGGAGGACCTTTTGAGAACACCCTTAACTGTGTTTTAGTCAGACTGCTGTGGCTGCTTGGACTACAATAAGAGCAGTGTTGTGGATTATCCTTATTGTTTGCTTTTGATCTGCACATTATCACCTTACTTTACTTTTATTATTCTACTGTAATATTGGGTTTGTTTGTTTGTTTATCTTTCTTATATGTGAACTTGCCCTTTTTCCTACAAGACAGCCTACATAATCCTCTTCCTCCTTATCTCCATTCAATCCTTAGAGCACCTTGAGGTAGATTAGGCTGAGACTCAGTCACTGGCCCAAAGTCCCCATCCAACACTCTAACCCACACACTACACTGGTTCTACATTTATTGAAGTATTGGAAATATGTCAGCAGGTTCTATTCCATAACAAATTCAACACACCCACCCAGATCAGTATTTTGATCTGATAAAAATTTGTGCTGAGGTACTTTGGCCTATTTACTTTGGGAAAACTGCATTTAAAGAAGTTGACCCACCAAAGCTGCTCCTTTCCCTCTCGAGTTAAGCTCTCCGCTTCCTTGTTTTCCCAGGTCTGACATCAAGGAGAAGCACAGCTGGATGCCTTCCAAGAGCTCACCCAGGCAAGGGCCACCAGGAAGAGCCTCCTCCTCTCCATTACAGCCTGCTTGCTCACCTGCCTCTCAGTGGGCCACTGTGCCACTCAATGGTGGTGGTGAGGAGGAGGAGCAGGAGATGACCTTGCCTACTTGCTCACTGGTTCTCTTCCTGTCAAGTGAGTGAGTGGTGAGCCTGACGGGAAGGAGGAAGAGGGAGACGGAGAGCAATGGCAGTGACTCCAGTGTCAGTAGGCCAGTGGATCCGCTCTGGGTTTCACTCTGAAAGAGATGGCTGTGCTGCAGAACACAGTTGGGGATTCATTTCAGTACCATGGATA